ATTACGATTATATGACCTCTTCGTCCGGTGGATGAACAGTTAAAATAAAACATGAATCTTATCCGATGCGATCGCGGAAAATCGTGTTATTTCCGGGGGCATGTCACGCGCCCTGTTTTTGATTAAAAAAAGCCGGATTTTACGCCACACTGGAGTCGAATCTGATTAGGGCAGAGAGTTGTGAGAATACGACTGTTTGTTTGTTTCCTTTTTCTGACAGAGGAAATACTTGTTCTTTTTCCACCCCAACGTTATCCCTCAGGCGAGTGTATCTTCACGGTGTGTGTGTGTGTGTTGGGAGGAGTGGGTGGGTGGGGGCGAAGGGAAATGAGGTGTGGTTCGATTTGCCAGGCACACCTTTGGGTATTCACAGACAAGTAATAATTGTGTATCAAGTTTGCGATCACCTGCTCGATGATGCTACTTGCATCGGATGAGGCAACAACAGCAACCGCGGGAGGGCAGAATGATTGGAGATGTAAGACAATAAAGTGGCAGTGGTTTTCGAAGATGAAAGCCATGATCAGACTATTCGTCCTCTTCTTATGATGTTGCTGCTGTCACTATTGCTGATAACTCAAATGATGTGATGATGATGATGATGATGATGATTCGGATGATGACGATGATGATATCTAAGCTTTGAAACACCGGGACACTTTTATCCATAGCATCAACACCAACAGAAGATCAATGTTAACATTTCGTTAAACCTCTTCAATCATCAACAGATGGGTGACGTAATCAAATTAACAACGCTTCATTAATTGCTTTTACCTAACATTTATTTAAAGGATGAGCTAGGGTGATCTGTGTTTCTGGCTGTTTCGCAACTAATGACCCCGAGTTTGATCGGTTGCGTCTTCGAATTCGCCAACCACTTTGGAATGTGTTGTGCAAAAGTGTTATGAACATTTAAATTGATTTATCATGTCCCTTGTCATCGGGAAACATTCCCAACTCCCTCCCCACATACTTCGTAGGTGGAAATATTGCAAGAATTCGATCACGGGATGGCATTAATCGTATACAGGTTTGTGAATATATGCCACCCACAAAACTGAGCAATTCGGAAACTGTTTTACTCTGATTCTCAGTTTTCGAACATACATCTCCGGGGTGATAATTTGATGACGTTAACACCGGGCCACCACCGGCCAAAAAATACGATTGAAATTAATGTCATCTACTCTCTAAAGCCGGTATTTTGTGTGCTCAAGAAAAATAAACCTCGTGCACAGGCGCTCAAACTTTCCCGGTATCAATGTGGATAACATTACGCATGAGTCTTGTTATGATGACCCAACAGTTACGTAACGCGTTCTTATCTGGACAAGAGAATCGAGAACAAACTTGTCCATATCCCACCTCGATTGTTTGATCCCAACAAAATACGCTGTCGTTTTTTTAAATAAATGCGATTGTCAGAAAGAATATGCGTTGATTGGACGGTATGGAAGTAGTGAAGAGTGGTTGGGAAAAATGTGAAAACAATAGTTGTTAATCCGTGGTTTGGAATAGGGGAAATCG